TATGGAAGCACTGAGAGCCATACGTGTATGGACAGTTGAAGGTGGAACAGGCTTCCACGCCAAATTGACCCTCCTCGGAGTTATTAGCCTGAGCTCCATAGATGCCAGACTCCTGCGCCAAGAGGGGTCGCAGCGTCAGGGGGTAAGCGATTGGACGAAGCTCTGGAAACAGCCAGACGCGGATGAAGGGATTAAGTCGGGTCCGGTGCCTAGGTTTTAGTCCGCCTACCCACCATCCCATTCCCTTCCCCTCCCATGCGGCGTCCCACCCCCACCCCACACGCTGCCACGTCACAGAACAGAATTTTCAGCAGCTGGTTTGTTTTCAAGGTAAAATGGGTGAGAAATCAAAAATGATAGCCAAGGTCACCAGAAGCCAGACTGCTAAGCTCCCAAATGCTCTAAATTGACAATGTCAGAAGAGCATCCAGGAATGCGGTGGAGGGTCTGGAGGGCTTCTTCTCCTTAGAAGGACCGATGGTGTGACTTCCTCTTTCTAAAACATCTCTGCATAACTAAATAGCAGGGGCCTTCAATTTCCTGAAAAGAAACATCTGTGGCTTCCGTTTTAGGGTAGGAAAGGCATTCTCCTTGAGTCAGAGAAAAGATTCAAGTTATCTGGAAATCCTTTTTCTTAAGAAAATCTCCAAGGCCAGAGACCCCATAATTCAAATTAATGATATATTCAGGGGCCTCCCAACTTTTCAGTATTGAAATTTTTTTTATCACTTTGACCCAAAGGACATATGTACTGCCCTTGGGGCCTGTTCCCCTTTTTTCTACCTTCAGTGAAATCAGAGTCGATGCTAACTTTAATTCACTCATTTATATAACTGACTCAAGACTTTTGCATTAATAATTAAACAGTAGATAATCCACAAGTAATTTCCATGTGGCAGTGAGTATGTGAAAACTTTTCCTTGTACTAAGTTTACCTGCCTAAGGCAGAAACCTAAGTTTCTGCACGGTAGCGCTGACCTTGGCTCTCTTCTCTTGGGGGGAGCTCTGTTCTCACTTGTGGTAGGGGAGTCTTTCTAAGGCGCATCAGGAACACTGCAGAAGCCAGGCCAGGAGAAACAACTCATTTGCCAACTCCCTCCAGGCAGCGACCATGACTTTGCTTCCCACGTAGCACCTTGCATGCATCAATAAATTTTTTGACTGAATGAAATAAAATCAGTTGCCTTTGTATTTTTTGCTAATTCAGTGAAAAGCTTTATCAAAATGAGAGCCGAAGTGAATACCTGGAGAGTGGCTTAACTGAAAAGATTTTTGTAATCATGGTCAGAAGTGAACGGTACTATTATCAGCGCTCGGCATATCTGACTACAAGGTATTTCACAATTTGAGACACAAATGGGAGCAAGTGTGTGACCCTGATAATATTACAACATGTCTCTTTCTTTCTGCGGGACCTACACTTTACCTGCTAAACGTGGTTGTAAACAGGATAACTTTTTTTTCTGCTGACATACCCCTTGCTAAATTTATATTCCGTACATGGAATAGGTGTCCGGAGTTTCTGAATGTATTTATTAAGGTACATGAAAAATGGTTAAGAGTATGGAATGGTGGGTTCCAGAAATGGGGAAATGAAGCAGAAAAATCCCTTTTTCAGGACATCAGACTGGGAAATAAAGCTAGATGGCATTTGATGGTATTAGTTCATCCCAGTCGCTCTTTACATTAGCTATGAGCCAGCGCAATAAAAACTAGGTTTAACAGGATGCTCAGTCACAACCCAGACCACTGAGTTTTAGTTCTAGAACCTTCCAGTATCTGTGGCATTTGGGAAAATGAAAGTTTTGCCTCCTTGATTATCATTTTACAAAGTATGACTAATGCCTCTTTGTAAAATAATAGGTATAAATACCCCAAACTTGGGGCGCCTGCATGGCTCAGTCAGTTAAACCTGACTCCCAATTTCAGCTCAGGTCATGATGTCAGGATCGTGAGATTGAGCCCTGCATCGGGCTTTGTGCTGGGTGTGGACTCTGCTGTGTGTTCTCTTTCTCCCTCTGCCCCTCCTCCCCTGCTTCTGCTCTCTCTAAAAACAAAAACAAACCCTTAAAACTTAAAGATACAATGGTCATAGGTTTTTAATAAAGTGATTCAGTCCCAACTGCATGCAGCCTAAGGACATCAGGGGGAATGCTAGTTTGCAATGCAGCCCCCTACTGTTGGAGCACAGCCCGCCAACTTAGCTATGTCCAACGGTGGGGATCCCACAGTGAAAGAGTGCTTCCCTGCAGGGAAGTGGTATACAGCTGGGAAGATGACTCTCAGGAGAGTGTTCAGTGATAGGGAAATGCTTAGGATGTCTTAAGCGGAGCTCCTGTCTGGGTCGTTTGTATCCTCAGTTTGGGGATAATGGGCAGTGGAATGGGATCCCTGCATCATGGTTAAGAGCATTACGGCTCAGCCAGTCCCAGGCTTGGATCCCAGCTCCCCCTGCGAGCTGTGTCCTCAGTGGACTGAGTCGGCCCCTCTCTGCTCCAGTTTCTCCATCTGCCAAATGAGGATAGTGGTGCCCACCTTGACACACTATTGTGAGAATTACACTAAAATGCATGCTGAGCACCTTGCACAGCGTCTGGTACCTATGAACGCTGAGGAAAAAAAATGAAAAAGTATGTACAGAAAATAAGCTGTTAGTTACTTCTGATTACTGTTTTTATTTTGTATACTTTATGACAATTTTCAGAACTTCAGCAACACAAACAACTACTTTTCTAAAATCGATTGTGTCAAAGGTAAGTACATAGGAAATGACAGTGGCCTGGATAGAGTCAGTGGTATTAGAAAAGAAGCTGACTTGGCACAGATCTTAAGGATCATGTATTTCAACTTGCTTGTTTTTATAGACGAGGGAATGGAGGGCCAGAATGGTGACCTCCACTGGAGGCTGAGAAACCAGACTTCCGCACCAGGCAAGGATGCATGCATAGGACAAAGGCAGGCCTCTCTTACTTTTATGAGTGGGTATGATGTGATGATGTAAACTGAGTCCGTGGAGAAAGGAGGCAGGGCTGTAGAGAATAGTAAGAATCAGAGTGACTTCCAAGGATCCCAGTAGGGAGACCATCATGGGGAAGTCAGTGAGAGAAGGTGTTTTGATGTGAAGGAGAGCATAAGCTTAATTTTCAATGTTGTCAGCTTGGAGGAACATCTAAGTGGGTTTCACACAGGGGCAGTTTCAGATCTACAAGTAGAGCTGTGTTGTTAGGGATGGGCCAGGAATAAAGACCAGGGAGAAGAATGCACGGAGTTCAGAGATGCAGCTCTGTTCAACAAGCTTTCCAGTGGAAAAGACCCAAGGGTCCAGACCTGAGCTGAGAGGTCAGTTAAAATTAAAAAGGGAAGAAGGAAATGCCGCTGAGGAAGGGCAATATTGGGTAAAAGAGCCAATGACTTGGTTTCAAGGTGGGCACAACCATCATGTCTGAAATTCATGAAGGAGGCCAGGCAAAATAGTTGGAAAAAGAAACCACGTGCCCTTTAGATTCGACTAGGAGGCAGCCACCAGCAAATAAAAAAGCAGTTTCTGAGGCGGGAAATGAAGCAGCCTGAATCCCTTATTCAAGAAACTAGGCTGGGAAATGAAGTAGGCAGGTATTTGATGATAGTTGGGAGAGATGGCAGAACAAAGTAATGGCTTATTCAAGATAAAGGACTCTATGAATATTTGAAAGCAGAAGGGAAGAGATGAAGGAGGGATTGAAGCTTTGGGAAAGTAGAAGATAAATCCCAAATAAGAGTTCTCAGGAGGCAAAAAAGCAAGAGATCAAGGCAAAGTTGGACTCACTAGCATTAAATCCTCAAGACATCTCTCCCTCTTGATATATTGAATGTTTTGAGTCTGAAGTTATGTTGGAGCTTTCGGAAGGCTTAGGACTTGAAAGTTCCACTTACTTTTCTTTTTATAAAAGAAACAATGGCAAACTGAGGTTTGGGGCCCCTTTCTTCTGGTGCAGTGTGGTTTGACTATCCCCCACACACTTAGCGCAGCCTGCTTTAAGTCATTACCCGTGTCATTATTTGCTTAGAGCCTTTCTTCTTTGATGGATCTAAATAGCACACAGGGAGAGCCCACATGTGTGCTTTTAACCCAGCTCCCAGCAACCTGTGCAGTGCCAAACATAGAAATGGAGTCTAATATTTATTAAACGGGTGAAAAAGGAATGAATTAGTGAGTGGCCTCTCCCACAGAAAGCAAACTAGTATCCAGGGAGATAAGGCAAGATTTGCCTTATTCTCTGGAAGTGAATCAGGCAGTTTAACAGGTGCATTACCTCTTTAAAAACCATGTGGTTAAGGACCTGGGGCTTTTCCTGAAAGCATTTCCAGCACCTTAAAAAATAATCACACATCCCAAAGATATCATCAAAACTAATAGAAGAATCTGTCCTTAAATGCAGATAAAAAGCAAATTTAACTGTAGAGTAAGATGGTATGCAACATATTTATATTGACTTAATGGCAATTTGCTTCTACTTTTCTATCTGTGAAATGGGAATAATGGTTAAGTGGTATTGAGCATAATTAAGATTGCAAAGTATTTCTAGCAGAGTCTGATGCCTTTAGGGTTAACTCTGAGTATTATTCCATCATTTACTTCCTCTACAACTTAAGTTTCCAACTTTGTATACTATTTTTATTATAATGCAATTAGATTTCTAAGAGGGCTTACCTTTTATAGCTTTTCTATCTAAAAAACTTACTACTCACCCAAAGCTGATAAGCTTCAAGATTCAGGAGGCAGTATTACGTCAAGTGTGGTCCATAAATATCTGCAGGCTGACTAAATAATGTTTTAATATTAAAAGTGGCCTCATTTCACCCTCATGAAAAATCTCAGGCTCAGGAAGGCTAAACTACTTGCCCAGCCTCACCCAGCAGGCTCAACTGGCAACTCAAACCCAAGCTTTCTGATGCCTGCCTCTAGTCATTTTGCATATCTGCAGCTGATTCTAGCTCTGATTTCTCTCTTTTTCCATCAGGAAATGATGATCAGAAGCTCTCCACAGAATGGTTTCTCATCGTGCTTATGGCAACCATCTGCTTCATCGTGTTAATTTTCACCCTCATCTGTAAAATGTAGGTATTTTTTTTTTTATTTCAGTGTTTCCAATGAGGTCTGAGTATTGAATTTTTACACTTTTGCCATGCATCCACTAGGGTGCTTGTTATCAGATGGAATTTACAGTGCTTTGGTGTCATCTGTACAGCCTTTCCAAGATGAGTATGGGCCAAATTAAAAAGTGAGAAACATCCTTAGGTGATTTATGGAAACCAGACAGAGCACAACACTGCCCCTCAGCCATTACACACCCTTCCTGAATTTGACAATGTATTCATTTCTGTGAAGCCTTTTACTTTCATGTTCTTTTTACTCCTTTACTTCCTTCCCACTCAGTATTTGGTGTTCTTAGTTGAGCCACTAGCAGACTCCTTCTATAGCTTGGGTAAAGGAAGGCAGCCCCCTAGAGACTGAAATCACCCCAATGCCTCTCATGGTATGATCTCCAATTAGGAGGTGCCAACTCCTACCCATACTCTTCAGTCCCTGAGTGACTGATTGCCCTTTGGTCAAACACAGATTGCAGAAAGGTGATGCAGATCTGGTGACCAATCCTCGAGGCTGCAAATGGCTCCATAAGAACTCCTCATCCACTTTGGCATTCAGTAAGGCAAAGTGCCATTTAGGAGGCTTAAGAACATGTTCTGTCTCAGTTCTTTCATAATTTAGAAAATGACTTAGGTTTTAAAGAGCTTCATTATTATAAATGTTATATTCTGTGGGTTGGAGGGTGGCAGTTCAACAGAGAGGAAAACAAAGCAAACTCTGAGCCAGCACGGATGGGTAAGGGGCTGGTTCCAGCACTGTAGTTAGTGGTGGGGCACAAGGGCTTACACATCACCCATGTTCAGAAATTAGGCCTGAAAACATGGACCACCATGAAGCAATCACTATCATATCTTTCTTGGATGATCCAGAAGCCACATCATAGCCCAACTAATATTATAATACAGGTATTTTTAACTCTTGGTCAATAAAGGTTTTGAATTTATAGAACAGCAAGTCCTGAGATTAACTAGGTCAATTTGTCGAGTTGATACTGAAAGACAAGAAAGGATGATTTTGCTCACCTAATTTTCTGTTTTACTGTTTTCAGAGGTCACTTATGGACCAGGCTGTTTCCACCGGTTCCAGCACCAAAAAATAGTATTAAAGATTTCTTTCTAATCGTCAGCCCTGAGGTAATGTTGAAGGTTCTTATGATGGGTCCTATCTGCCCAGGGTTGGGTCTCTAGGGACTGGTCATCAGGTTACTGGTTTTCCATATTCCAAGGCAGAGTGTCTAGCCTTGTGGGGCGGGGAAGGCAGCAACTTTATGTCGCTTTAGTCATTCTGCTCTTTGGATCAATGTTATGTTACATATGTTCATTACTGTCTTGGAGTATTGGAAAGGTCCTGCTCAGTTATAAGTGTCCTCACCAGTCAGACTGGAATTTTTTCTATCAGCCATCTCTTAACTGAGCTTGGGCAACTCCTTCAATTCCATGAGCCCTGACTTCTTTTTCTATATAGTCAAGGGGCATACAGGAGATGGTCCAATGTCCTGTTTAGCTCTGATGTTTTAAGAACCCGTGTTTCTGCACATGGATACCCTAATAACATTTTTCAGAGGAACTTTTCCTAGGTCCTTAGTATAAAGAACCATAGAGAAGGCAAATGACTTTCCCAAATATGTATTTCCTTAGGCCCTATTTGCCATTCAGAGCACTTAGGCTTAACTGAATGCTCACTTACACATGGCTGCCCAATTATTCTGGCATCATTTTGTGAAAAAAAAAATCCTTTCCCCAGTGAATTGTCTTGGCATCTTTGTTGAAAATCAGTTATCTGTATATGTGTGGGTCTACTTCTGGACTATCTATTTGCTTTCATTGATCTGTTTGCGTATCATTATGCCAATGTGATCTTGATTACTATCACTTTATTGTGAACCTGGGGATCAGGTTAGTGTAAGCCTTCCAAACAGGATTTTTTTTTTAAAAAAGATTTATTTATTTAAGGGGCACCTGGGTGGCTCAGTTGGTTAAGCATCTGCCTTTGGTTCAGGTCATGATCCCAGGGTCCTGGGATCAAGCCCCGTATTGGGCTCCCTGCTCAGTGGGGAGCCTGCTTCTCCCTCTCCCTTTCCTTCTGTCTGCTGCTCTGCCTGCTTGTGCTCTATCAAATAAAATCTTAAAAAAAGATTTACCTGAGAAAGAGAGAGAGAGAGCACATGAGCGGGAGGGGGAGAGAGAGTGAGAGAGAGAGAGAGAGAGAATCTCAAGCGGACTCCATGCTTTGCGCAGAGCCCTCCTCGGGGCTCGATGCCAAGACTCTGAGATCAGGACCTGAGCTGAAACCAAGAGTTGGAAGCGCAACCAACTGAGCCACCCAGGTGCCCCCAAACATGATTTTTTCCCCAAAGTTGTTTTGGTTATTCTAGGTGTTTTGTTTTGCATTCCCATATAAATTTTAGAGCAACTTTATTAATTTCTACCAAAAAAGCTGCTGGGATCTTGATTAGGATTGTGTTGTACTGTAGGTTAATGTGGGGAGAAGTGACATCTTAAAAATGAGTCTCCCAGGGCGCCTGGGTGGCTCAGTTGGTTAAGCGACTGCCTTCAGCTCAGGTCATGATCCTGGAGTCCCAGGATCGCGTCCCGCATCAGGCTCCCTGCTCGGCGGGGAGTCTGCTGCTCCCTCTGACCCTCTTCCCTCTTGTGCTCTCTCTCATTCTCTCTCTCTCAAATAAAATCTTTAAAAAAATAAAAAATAAAAATGAGTTTCCCAATCTGTAAACATGACATCGCATCGTACTCCACAAACACAAAATATCATCGACCTATTTAGGTTTTAATTTCTCTCAGCAATGTTTTGTGATTTTCAGTGTATAGTTATTACACACTTTGTCAAATCTGTCCTTAAATTAAGTGGTTATTTAGATTAGGGGTCAGCAAATTTTCTCTATAAAGAGCCAGATAGTAAGTACCTAACAGCCAATGGTTTCTCTCAACTATTCAATGCTGCCATCCTGGTGTGAAAGCAGCCATAGACAGTATGCAAATGAACAAGATTGGCTCTGGCCAACAAAACTTTATTTACAAAAACAGGCAATAAGCCAGATTCTACCCACAGGCTGTAGTTTGCAGATCCCTCATGTAGATCAAGCTATTTTCTTAACAAATTTAGTTCTCTAATGAAGTGTTTCATGAATGGATGAATAAACTAGTGATTGTTTGTAGGGCAGTTAAGGGTCACTCACTCACTGAAATGGATCATTTCAATAAGCTGTGACCTTTAGAGTTCTTGATTTAGGTGTTTGGAATAATTATAGACCATAGTAGTTGTGAACTTAATCAGGCAAAGAATGGAGTCAGACAGAAGAACCACTCTGTCCTTACCTCCATCCGGAGTTCTCCTTTATCAGGGAACACGGGCTTTGCTTTTGTTAACCCATAGCTTTTCTGGAAGAAGGGTGGACTCCAGTGTGAAACCTTGTTTTGGTTTCATCTGAATTTGTGCTGTCGATCCCCCCCGCTTGCTCCGGCATACTCATCCCCAAAAAACTACATTTGATTTTAGCAGTCCACTGAAGTCATTTGTCTTGGCTCTTAGTGGAACATCTTAATGCTGGTATCTAATTTCCCTATAGAGCCCCCAAAGATTTTCTTTAATATTCTGAAGTTGGTGAAAGAAACTGGCTTAAAAGCTTATTGTATAAGCTTGTGGTTTGTTGTTAATTAAAATCAAGTCATGTGTGCAAAATAACAACTTGGGGGAGACAGGCTGGTTTCAAAATAAGCAAAGGATTAATGTCATAGCTCAGCACTGCTAGGCTCCTCAGACAACTTACTTTCTTCTCACATTGTTGAGTTTCATGTAAAAAAAGACAAGAGAGAGACTGACAGAGATAGCAAGTAGAACTCAGAAAATGAAATATTGCCCCATAATGCTGTCAGCCCTATGGCCTCAGCTTCAATTCTCCACCTGGTATTCATATGCAAGCAAGGGCAGAGCTGACCACAGCCTGGGCCCCATGTAGCAGTGCCCCAGCCTGTAGCTCTGAAGGTAAAGCCCTTCGGACTCAGTCTTGGGGCCTCTGCTGCAAGGATGACGGAGGGGACCAATTAGTGCTATTGGCAATGATGGTTTTGGTTTTGCATCCCACTAGGAAGCCTTTAGTGAGAGGGAAAGGAATCTTTCTGCTTTCAATTACAACCAGCGTCTCTGAGCTTGGTGTGGGTACCCAGAGTCCTGGGATTTGGAGGATATCTGCCATCCCTGAGCTCTCATTAAGCAAGTTTTTGCTTTTCCAGACCCAAGTTAGAAATTGTTTTGTAACATTCAAGAGACAGGTACTGTCAGGGAGAGGTGGGGAGGGGGGGGAGACGGAAGGGGCAGAAGTTGACATTTATCAATTACAAAGAAGGTGTCTTTTTGTTTAAAAAAAATGTATCTTGTGTTTTAGATTTGTTAGAGACCAGTTAGTTTCCAGCTGTTCCTTATTTCTACAATGGTAGCTAGAGAGGGTTCCTTCCAAAATGAAATATAAACCATTTAAATTCTAGTACCTAAGGCAGAGAGCACATCTGCTCTGTCACTGCATACTCAATGCACGGCAGTGTCTAAAGTACAGTAGGTATTACAGGTATTAAAAAATATGTTAAATGAGGGGCACCTGGGTGGTTCTGTCAGTTAAGCATCTGCCTTTGGCTCAGGTCATGATCTTGGGGCCTGGGATTGAGCCTACGTTGGGCTCCCTGCTCAGCTCCCTTCTCCCTCTGCCCCCCTCCCCTCACCCCATGTGTGCACGCATGCGCATGCATGCTCTCTTGAATAAATAAAATCTTTTTAAAAATGTGTTGAATGAGTAAACAAGGTAGAAAAATAGTTCTTGTAGGGGATTTCTGTCACAAAGTTTCTAATTAATAGCATTGTATTAGCTGAAATTAGACAAACACATATCTAAATTTAAGGGGAAACAATAAACTATGAATGAAAAATGGTGGAGCTATTCAATGATGCAGCCCAAGAGTATATATTTTAAAATATTACATGTTACACAGAAAGCAATTTATGAAGCTGACTATCCATTTGCCTTCATTTAACTGTAAAGGTAACTTTGTACCTAGAAAACAAGGCTGGAGGGAAACAACGGGCTGTGTTTGGGAGATAGGTTGATGGATAGATTTCGTTTTCTTCTCATTTTCCCTATTTTCTTAGTGAACATTTACTATTTTTATAAGCAAAATACACTTAAAAAACAATTGTAAAGAAATTCAAGAGAACAAAAAGTGTACTAAAAGACATTTAAGGGAGGATGTTTTGTTTTACAGAAAACTGTTTCCAACGAAACAGAAATTGAAGTCATAAGTTACGTGGAAGAGCCTGGACTTGAGACCCTAGAAGATTCCGTGTTTTGATTGGCACTGTAACATTCTCAAAAATGAACTCACTCACATGCCTCAGTGATAAGAACGGGAACTGTTGTTTCTTGGCTAAGAAGAGTTCCGAATTTACTAAACACTCAGTTTAGCTGCAAGGCAATACAGCCAGACAAATCTCTTAAAAGCGTGGATGCTTCTTCAAAAACTCCTTGCTCACTCAGGGCGATTGATGAATCTGACTATTCTGCCATGTCTTTTCTTCCCACTCCGCAGGGTACCAACTCCTCACCTGCCAATCTTTGTGATTTACATTACTTGCCTGAAACTTTGTGCAAAAGACAGTTTTTAAGGCTGATGTCAACTGGCAGAGCCCGTTTTATAGCTGAAGCTGCCAATGGTAATACTCAGCTGAAATATCAGCAAGAAAGCATTTTGCACCAGCCTGGAGTTCATTATGAACGTAGATTCGAGGCTGTCTTTCCTAGAACAAGTGGGAGCCATGGTGCTTCCCCCCCCCCCGCCCCCGAGTTCTAGAATACCTTTTCTTTCAAGTAGTGTGGGGGGTGGGCGGGCTATCTATGATTTAGGAAGCACAACTTGAGGCAAACTCACTACAAATGTGAAGAGCTAATATATCACTCCATACCAAAGCAGAGAATAGGATTCTATATTTGAGATTATATTCTTGAAGGCAGCTTTGATATTTGGGAATATACTGACAAAGGCATTAGGTAGAATTGGGTTGGGAAGGGGATTGCCCAATCAACAATGAACTTTCTGGAGAGATGTTGGCTTGCGCATATTTTGGAGCAACTTCTCGGGTGCTGGTCAAGTAGCTCTGGGTCAATCCTACAAGCATCCCATCAAACATTCCAATCTAGACATCCTCTCTACATCCTCCTATATGAGTTTGCATCTAGATTGGAGGCCTTCGTGATGGGTGATGGGCTATAGGTAGAACCAAGTACATACAGGTTCATCTAGGGGAGAGAGGAGGTAGGAGGAACAGTTAGAACTCGGAAGGACCCCAACAGTGCTGATGGTACCTGGGCCTGGAGTAGGGAGCTTAGGACAGGGAAAGGAGGTCACAGTGTTCCAAACCCCCTGTATGGCAGCACACAGTTTCCAAGTATTATGGACTGAATATTTGTGCCCATCCCCCTCCAATTCATGTTGAAACTCTATACCCCAATGTGATGGTATTAGGAGGTGGCGGTCTTTGAGCAGTGATTATATCATTGAGGGTGGAGCCCTCATGAAGGGAATTAGTACTCTTTAAAAGGGACCCCGGGGGGGGGGTTCTTTCCCCTATGTAAAGATATGAGAAGTTGGCATTCTGCAACGAGTATGAGGGCTCTCCCGAGAACCCTGCCATGCTGACACCTTGAACTGGGAACACCAGACTTCAGAACCAAACAAATTCCTGTTGTTTATAAGTCACCCAGAGTATGGTTCTTTGTTATAGGAGCCTGAGCTAAGATCCCAAGGGTTGGGAACCATACCAGATACTTCACACACATCATCTCCAATCCTGAGATGCCCACATCATTTGTATCACTGCCCCATTTTACAGGTGCAATCACTGAAGAAAGTGCACGATGAAGGGTTGACTACCAGGCTCAAGTGAGCCCGGTAGAGAGGACTGCTGGAAAAAAGTTGAAGCTTGCTTAGAGGTGGGACCAGGAGGGCATGGCCCATGGAGGTGCTGCAATCACTGGCAAAATGTTTGATTATCTGACTGATCCAGAATCTCTGTGAGTGGCGTTCAAGGACCTGTATTTTTAGTGAACATTCTTAGACATTCTGAAACTTGCCAGCACATTAGAATCACCTGGAGGTATCATTAAAACAGATTGTAGGGCCTCAACATCAGTTTCAGATTGAGTAGGTCTGGGGTGGGGTCTGAGATTCTGCATTTCTAGTAAGTTCCCAGGTGATGCCGATACTTCCCAGTCACACTTCATGAACAGTAGCCCTGGGTGTTTCTGATGAATACCAAAATTTGAAAACCAACTGTTGAAGGAGTAAGTGATGGAAAAGTCCTGCCCCAAATTGCCGCTTTTTGGGCTCATCGCTCCTTGTCTGATGTCTTTCATAACCAGAACCTAGAAACCTAGGGTTATGGCCACTGCCTCTGCTAGGAGGCCGGAAGAGAAAGAAGCTGCCCCCAGTTTGGCTGCGTCTTCATTGTTGGGTGTGGTGTTCCACATCAGAGATGCCTCCCTCAACCTCAGCGGCCAGCCGTCACCGTGCTGAACCAGTACCACCATCTGGATCTTTGTCTATGTGTTTCAGGAGCAACACAGTGTAGACCATGTGGTCTCGCTAGTGCATTATGACCTTCCTCTTCCTCACTGCTCAGCTCCTACCCATTTTTTGGAAACCCAAATCCCATGTCTCCTCTGTGAAGCCTTCAAAAACATTTTGGTTGATCCTGCCTCTGGGTTTTCATTCTGGGCTTTGCCCCTCTCCTGGAGCTATTGCATTGTAGGATATACCATTCAGTTTGGATGTCTCCCCAAACTGTGTGCTCCAGGAGGATGGGGCTTATGTGAAATTCATCCTTTTATCTATGGTGTCTAGGACCACTGGACCCTTTAAACCCTCTTTCAACCCTGGCACAGGTCCTTGAATGTAGTTGGAACTGAGGGATATTTGGCAGAGATCACCAAGGCCTATAATAATATCATGGAAAGGAAGACGGGTGTCTAATGAGAACATGATTGGAAATAACCAGGACACACATGTGTGCCCGACCATCTGGCTAGTGTACCCCAGTCCTTTTTTGCTGATGATGTGGCTAAGTGGTGACGTATAAATGCGGTATAAAAGGAGTTAGGCTTTGGATATGGCATGCTTTGAGTGCTCTGTCCAGTTTTCACTAGCCTTGTCATGACAAATCAGAGTGTGAACATTCTCTGAACAGTAAATACCCTCGTCAACAGGTTGATTAGACACTGGCACCCACCTCTTTCCATCTCCCACCAGGATAGGAGAGAGGGCCAGCTGTCTCCCAAAGAGCCTTCGGTTGCACGCTCAGAACAAACTGTGCTTCTCTAAGACATCCTTTCCAATAAGGATTTTAGTCCAATGTCTTTCTTTGGCAGTTGGAATTCTCTGAGCGCAGCATAGGGAAAGTGCTAGGGAGCCTGGAGGGGAAGTTCAGTGTGCCAACAGCACAGCCATCTGAGCCTTATTGAAATGCCTCAAGGCCTCAAGCTATTTATGCAGGCTGGGCAAGAATTCCACTTGGGCAAAGAACATCCTGATTAAAAAATCCAAACGTTTTCATGGTGAGACTTGTATGTGTCAGGACCATCTGTTGGTGGAATTAATAAACCTTAGGTGCTAATTTGTTAAAGAAAAAGTAGGTGTCTAGAAGCAAGAACAGAGAACTGAAAACAATCTTTGGTGGCACAAGGCAAGGTGAAAAACCTAATTAGAACAGGACTTGGTGTTAGCCCAAGGATCTTTGTGACAATGACCGTGTAGCTATTCCTGCCTCCACACCCTGCAAATAAAGTTCCAGGATACAAACTTTTTGAAAGCCATTTTTCAAAGATTATATTGAACCAGAAGGCAATCTTATCTTTTTGCCAGTAGCCCTCTGTTTTAGGTAATACATGTGAATGTAAATTCACTTCAGAACAAGAACTGTTTCACACAGATGACGGTGAATTGTCTAAGTCCACAAATCGAACAGGAGTACACTTCTCATTCCCTGCCCCCATATTCTCATTCTTTGTCCCCAATATCATCTTTATCGTCTCTCAGCTAGGACCATTACAACTCAACTAAAATCCTGGCCTCCAGTATTTTCTTTCTTGGGAGGACCTACATAAAAGGCACATCTGCCTCCATCACCCCTGTCCAAGGCCCTCAGATAACTCCATCACCTTCAAGTTAAAGCTCCTGTCAATGCTAAGGCCCCTGGGACACAGCTCCTCAGTAGCTCCCGGGCCAGAGTCCCAAGGAGCAACCCTCCAAAACGAACACCACGCTCTCTCAACCCTCCATGCCTCTGCGTAAGCTTTCTCCTGTGGAAAAAGCCTTTTCAATCTTTTTCTTCATCGGTTGACTGTTATCTTCTAAATTTTAGTCCTTTGCCACCAGGAAAACTCTGTATTCCCCAGGTAACTTCTTTTTGATTCTATTTTATCACTTACTGTATTGTTTAAAATTTTTTGGTCTCATTTAAAGTGGAGACATGTTGAGGTCAAGAACAACGTACTTAACCACTGAATTGGAACTGGCTGAATTTAGCTGGACAATGAAAAACAAAGTGAATTTCTCAAAAGTGTACCAGAAAAAGCTACATATATTCAACTTAGCTCGAAAGAATGAAGCTCTAATGGGTAGACTCATCTATTAAAGCTGTACAGCGACAGCCAGAAATTAGACCATCACCAAAGCTTAAAAATGAAGTAATAAGAACTCACAGTTGGTGTGGCTCTCCTTCCCGAAACGCCTCTCTCTACCTCACTGGCCGCTCATCCCTTGGGTTCCGTGGAGCTCCCGCTGAACTTCGGGAGCCAGTACGACCCATTTGGCTCTTGATAAATGAGTGGCAGGTGAAACAAAATTAGCCCACGTGGCCCGTGCGCGTTATTTAAAAGTTCCAGTGGACCCTCTTCACCATGAAGGTGTGTTACCAGGTTAGTTTCATTCATTAAAACTAAAAGCAAAGCGCTGTCCCTGCCAGGTGAGAAAATGAAAGAAAACATAAACCTGAGAAGAGGTGTGGGGGAATCGCAGGAAAGAAGTCAACAATGAAGTACTGGTGTCATAGTTCAAAAGTCAGCAAGTTTCTTCTTAAAGAGCTAGATAGAAAATATCTTCAGCTGTGAGAGCCATCTGTTCTCCGCTGCAACCGCTCAGTTCTGCCACGATAGCACAAAAGCAGCCACAGACAGTATATAAATGAGAGTGGCTGTGTTCCAATAAATCTTTATGTACAAAAACCAGGCAATGAGCCAGGTTTGGCCTGTGGGCCAATATTTATCTGTACATAGCTTAATGGATCCAAAATGTTACATTTGAGTGTGCTGTTTATTTCTTTCTCTTTTTTTAAGCAAAGCAACCAATTTGAGAAATATGTTTAATCAATAAAAATCATTCTATGGTGGAGTGGGGCACCTCGGTGGGGCAGTCGGTTGAGGGTCCAACTTTTGGTTTTGGCTCAGGTCGTGATCTCAGGGTCGTGAGATCAAGCCCCTGCGTTAGGCTCTGCACTCAGCATGGAAGATTCTCTATCTCTCTCCCTCTGCCCCTCCCTGTCACTCTCTCTTTCTCTCTCTCAAATCAATCAATCAATCTTTAAAAAAAAATCTTTCTATGGGGGGAGGTGGTGGTAAAAAAAATGTGTTGTGTTTGAACTTAACCTTGTTATGAGTTGGTTTTGCAAGAAACAAGGGTACAGAATTCTGTTTTATAGAATTTCTGTTCACACGTTTTATACCATTTGCAAATAAGTGCTTCTGTCACCTCCAGTGAACCCTGAAGAGGGAAGCCTTAATCTGATTTCTGTGGTTTTCCAGTGCCCAGCACAGTGCTCAACACATAGAAAGCAGTCGACATCTTAATTGTTGACAAACAAAAGAGGAATGACTGGGCCAATTCAAACTCTCAGTTATTTGGTCTCAGATACTTGGTTCTAAAGAATGATAAATGGTACACCAATCACATAAATTTTTTTTCAACTAGTTCTGTTATAGTTATGTTCTGAGCAACAAGCCCATTTTTATAACCCTTCAAAACATTTCTGGAATCCCCCTTCACATCTCAGAGCCATGGACCTTTAGAGATTTGATAACACATCAGCAAGGTCCTGGAATTTTTTTTCTCTTCTTTTTTATTATGTTATGTTAATCACCATACATTACATCATTAGTTTTTGATGTAGTGTTCCATGATACACCCAGTGCTCCATGCGGAACGTGCCCTCTTTAATACCCATCACCAGGCTAACCCATCCCCCCACCCACCTCCCCTCTAGAACCCTCAGTTTGTTTTTCAGAGTCCACAGTCTCTCATGGTTCATCTTTTTGCATTAGAAATTCATTACCTCAAAGAGGAGGAATCCTCCCTGCATAAGGTTGCCAGACTTAGCAAATGAAAAATAGATGAAGCCCAGTTAAATTTGAATTTCAGATAAATTTTGCATGGGGCATACACTATAAAATTATTGATTTTTTAAAAATCAATATTTTATCTGGTAACTCGGATCTTGCAGGATAGCCTGTTTGAAAAATAGCTCTGAGAATGCTTGAAGTCCAGTATAACAAACAAGCAAAAAACACCATTTGCAGTAAAAAACATAATAGCCAAACTGGGCTGCTTTGGAGCAGAGAAATAACCACACCTGAGGTATATGAGGTTTTTCTGCAGGAATCCTATACCTGGGATCTTGGCTTAAACCCCTGGTCACTTTTTAACAACCCACATACACCTTCCTGGGAGGCTCACCACCTTATTTCCTTCTTGTTGCCTTATGGCAACCAAATCTGTCTGTCTGTCTATGTTCCTACCTACCTACCTAGATATCTAATGTTTTGGACTGGACTTGCCTGGAGTCAATCTACCAGCATCTCAACTCCTGGTTTCCCTTTTCAGCGGTGTGACCTGGGACATACTGCTAAACCTCTTAGTCTTGGCTCCCCACGTGTCAAGTATGAATAATGAATAGTAACTCAACCAGCAGGTTCATTTGCACAGAATAGATGTCAGCTATATTCTCATTACATTTTTCCATATTGTGACAAAGTGCCAGTACTGGTCCCTTGGCTTTCCCCCCCACCGTGAGACTCCAAGGCAGGTGACTTCACACTGGCCTGGGGGGGTGGTTCCATCTCCTTCATTCTGTGGCCCCCGTGGGGTCTCTCTCTGCCACAACACTCCCCTGTGCTAGAACAGTGCCTGGTACACAGAAGGTGGTCACTAGTGCCTCCTGAATAACCGACTGGAACCCACTTCAGGGACCTGCTGCTCCGAACGGCTGTGCTCTGAGTCTGCTCGTCCTTCACAACGTCTTCACCTCCCACATCTCAGCCTCCGACGTGCTCTGCTTGGATCTCGCCATTTCCCTCTTGCCCACTCCGTGTCCTGACTGCTTTCCACGTGCACTTGAGACAAGATTTCTTTATTCCCTCTTATTCTTTCTCTCAGGAAAGACTTATTTCTAGGTGTTGAAATGCACTGAATTAAGAGTTCTAATTCCTAGTCCCGACTTTCTAATCCTCTGTGTTACTTTGGGCTTGTAGTACCATCTCCTTACCTCCATTCCCAAATGAAAAAGGAATAAAACTGGTGTCTCCTGCTTCTTAGTGTGAAGAGCACTTTGAAAACGATAAAAACAAATTAAGCTATTACTCTTTGTTAAGTAAATCCAAAACATACATATTTCCTGGTAGAGTTTGTGCTGTTTGTTACCAGTGGTAAGAAGATGTAGTGAAAGACCCATGTACAGCTACTGAGACCACCTCATTAAGTTACCCAAGCCTTGCAGACTCCAGACATTCAGATCTCTTATATGGTTGATCTTAAAAACAACAACAACAACAAAAAAAACAACTTTCTCTCAGTATGGTCTTTATTACTAGAGCTCTGCTAATCTACAACTGACCATAACTGTTGGTGATAAAGGACAGAGGATGAGTTTGTTTAAATTGTGAGCTCTCTTGAGTGTTGCAGTTTACACTTGAGTCATGGGATTGGAACATTTAATCTTCAGGGGCCATTTAGCATGAGGGGTAAAGGAAGGGGCTTCCTTTTGGACTGGCATATGGTAATCACACCCTGCCAGGAGGGCAGGGGCTGAGCAAATCAGTCCCTGTGGTGCCAGAGACTCTTCCCCCTCTAGTTTTGTTCGTGTCAGAGATGGGAAGGGGGGATACAGACCTAGTGCTTGGGAAGTACAGTCAAGAATCACAAGCCGACTCTAACCCTAAGATGTTCTCTGTGTACTGGGAAGAAGACATGAACACAAATGATTTAAATACCAGCTAATGGGACGCCTGCGTGGCTCAGTCAGTTAAGCGGCTGCCTTCAGCTCGGGTCATGATCTCAGGGTCCTAGGATCAAGCCCCGCATTGGGCTCCCTGCTCAGTGGGGAGTCTGCTTCTCCCTCTCCCTCTGCTGCGCCTCCTGCTTGTGCTCTCCTGCTCCTGCACACGCTCTCTCTCTCAAATAAATAAGTAAATAAATAAATACCAGCTAATGGGATGATGACACGTGTGGGTCCTGATGAGGTGCCCTGGAAGTCAGACAAATGAGAGGTCAGTACCAGATGGAGAAACTGAGGAAGCCTTTGTAGAAAAGCTGGCATCTGCGTGAGGACCCAATTACTTAAATTCTTTTATAAATATTAATATTATTAAATATTTTTATTTTATTGTGTTATGTACATAACTATATTAAGACATGAAAATATTTAAATAAAAGGTGATAATGGACATGTGTGTTGAGTTCAACTCATTTTGGCTATGGGAAGTATCAACATTCTTAGTCTGGTTTTTGTGACTATCCCAAGTCACTTGGGGAAAAGAACAGTGACTGATCTATAAAATAGTTGCTAATGTTCAGAGAGCTATGCATTTAGAACTTTACAAGCCTTACCCTATATAATAAGTACCAACTGGCAGACTGCATTCCAGGCGGTCAGACTCCAGAGTGCATATACTTACACACTGTATTAAGCTGCCTGTGTAAGGTCCAGGGTCTCTCATTTTTGACGGAGTAATTTTGGGTGTGCCTAGAAATGGAACAAGTCTTTCATTGTAAAAGGCTTGCTCCTCACTGTGGTTGGCCAGAGAATTGTTTTAATTGTAACAACAGGAAAATCCAGTCAATTCTTTTATCTATGTTAATTATCTGTGTTAATGGAGGAGAAGAGTGGCATGGATAATCCAATACAGTGTATAGAAATCACCTGATGGTGATTACATTACACCAAATTACTTTAAAAATTACATGACATTTTAGTGGCTAATTATGTACTATTTATGTACTTTCTATAATTCATCACTCAGCATTCAATGTTCTTTGAGTATATTTTGCAGAAAGGTAAGGGTGGTGGGAGAGACTGGGAAAAGGTTAATCAGGATTGAACATTGCTTCCCGGATGTAAATAACCAAAAATCTGATGGTAGGAATAACTTAGTCGTTCTATCTTCAGATAAAAAGCTATGGAAGGTCCCATCTCACAGGCTAGAATTCTGAGCTCACCTGAGAATTGAAATTTATCGTTCATGTCTTCTGCCTCCATGCAGAGATGCTGTTTTGTACATAGAGCATTTGAGCTCTGTAAAAACTCAGGACCACTGAGAAAATCCAATTATCTGGCAAAATAGAAATCCTTTTAAACAGTTAAATCGCAGGTGGATCAAGTGGATTACACACACAAAAAGAAGGTAAGAAGTGTAAGCACTTCAAACAGTTAAATGACCAAAGCAAATAGGCCCCTTCCTAGTGCTCTTGCTTCAGAGTCACTGTCCCAAGTAGGAATATATTCCATCTGAGTGTAGTATTTGGGACCAGGGCCCGGGGAGGTCCCTTGGATAGCTAAGCATAGAATGTCTGTTGCTTAGATCTTCCTAGTATCTATTATCTCATCTCATGGAAATATCATCTCAATTTTCCTTTAACAAGTTATCCTTTTGCTATGAGTGCAGGTTTGGCGTGATCAAGGATATGGAGCAGAGTAGCATCAAAATCATAAACAAAGCCAATTCATTTCCAGAAAAGCACTTGAAATAGTTTCCAAAGTTCCTGCAGTCTGGATTCTTAGAGTAGCCTCGTACTTATTCTCACCAACGCGTGGCCATTCAGCGTCTCTTCAGCTCGTGTGACCTAATCTGTGTCATTCCTTTTCATTTGCTCAGTTTAGCTCAATTTTGTTTTCTGTTGCTTGCAACTAGTGATCCCAACCTGCAACCACCACCGAAGCTAACAAATCAGACACGTGTGGGTGAAGGTGCCTACCATGCACTTTCTAAAATACCTTCAGCTCACTTAGACTCAGCAAATCCAGGTCTTCATTTATCAGATGATGAAACAGAGAGATACAAAGGACTTTTTCAAAGCATAAAGTTTGAAGCCAGGCCTTCTAATGCTTTCCACTACCTAACAAA